AGTTTTGCAGATCTAACAGATTATGAACAAGAATAAAATATTGCATGGTCTTGTGCAGGTATTTAGTTAGCTTAAAATTTCTAAAAGGACATTTAAAGATTCAGAATGTCAGATTTCAAAGCAAAAGGCATGCAGAGTTCAACCACCAATGCAAATTCATAACTAATGTGGATGTTTCAAAGTGGATTTTTGACTACTACAAGAAAACCTAACCTTGTATATTTCTATTAAAATTGTTTAAAAATATATAAACAATAGTAACCTAGAAACACTTTTCTTCCACTGCCCCTCCACTAGGCCTGTCACGGTGATTACTACACTGACTTATCGTTCAATATATGAAAACTGGAACAACATTTTCTTCGTGCTACTGAGAAATTTTTGATTATTTTTGGCTATATGGTAAGATTTAAGCCACAAAAGGTTGAATTAATAACTTCTTTGACTCATTACGGATGCAAACTAAAAACACTAAAGTGCTTCATTCTGCTGTTTATCTATTACAGTTCATGGTTTTTAACAATACTGTAGAATAGAATTGTGTTTGGTTTAAATCTGCTCTTGAATTGTTGTGTAAGTGGCATAAACTAGTTTCAATATTATCATTTATGGTGTATTTTACTCCAGCAATAGATCAAACCTCAAAATTTGTTATTGTGACAGGCCTATCCTCCACTGGCCAAAGTAACCAAAACAGGCGTAGATGTGTATATGGGCAGACACATTAGATCAGTAGACAGAAATAAATTTATGTATGTAACATGTTGTGTGTGTGTGTGTGTGTATGTGTGTGTGTCAGCTTGCATATCGTCCTGAGCCATGTTGTATGATGTGACATTGCTGAGTAGTGCTGACGTTCAGACTTTTCCTGGGAGAGTGGAAAAAAGCCTGCATCAGGAGAAAAAGAGCTAGCCCATCACCGTGTGTGTGTGTGTGTGTGTATGGGGAGAAGGAGGCAGAGGAACAGAGCAGCATTTATGAAGAAGGTACACCAGTTTTTGTTTATCCTATTACACACATGAGTGACATACTGTAGATAGACTGCATCAGAAGTTTCAAGACAAACTGGAAAGAAAATATTTTTAGACTACATATGTGTTAAAAGAATGAGGTACCATTTGAGAACATGCAAAGATTATAAGGCTAAACTATAGGGATGGTGAAAGATCTTGCGAGATGAAATGTGCACACATGAAAAAAAAGATGTTGTGAGATTTTATCCAAGTCTTTACATTTGGATTGAGGAAAAAAAGGTTACATGTTGTTTAGTAACATCTCCTACAGTTCCAAAAAGCAGCACTAAAATAAAAACAAAAATATGAATCAAATGGATAAAAAAAAAAGTTGGAAAATCTGGAAACTGAATCGTGAAATGCATATATTGGGAATTATGATGAAATCTCATTTAGTCTCGTTCTCATGGACCCAATGGCGTATCTCGTATCTTGTGAAAATTGTATTTCGTCCCATCCCTACTAAACTATGTGATCCACCTGTGGGAATTAAGCTATTACCAATTATATAATAATTATTACTATGACCAAAATATGTTTTAATTGCTATATTGAATGAACTTGCACATGTTAATGTATTCTAATAAGCTCTGATCCAAATCATTGTTTTGTTATTCTTTTGCAACATTGGATGCTGGTATTATGCCTGTCAAGATAAAACATTTTTAAGTGTGATATGTTGCTTAAGTATATATAGATGATAGATGATAATACTGAAACTAATTTATGCTACTGACATAACAACCTTAAAGCAAAAAGCAGAATGAAACAGTTTGCTAGTTAGAAGTTATATCTTTAACATGTTTCAGCTCAAATCTCTATCAAAATAGGACAAGTCTCCACACTACAGCAAAGAAAAAGTACCCATGATAAATAGTGACCCCAAATTTTATTGTATTAAATTGTAGATTTTTTTATTTCTCTAAGTGCAGCAATTTGGAAACAGTCTTTGTTTAGGAAATGTCTTATAGAAATAAAGTGGATTGGATTGGATAAAAGATTATTGTTCTATCTTTCATATATTGAACGATAAGTTGAAATAGTAATTATCGATGCAGGCCTAACTGGTATAATATACATTAATTCAAACTGTATAACATTTTTACCCTTTGAACATGTGCAATGCACTAGTATGTACTGTATATGCAAGTTTGTCATGCACAGACAACATGGTGGACAACAACATATAAACAAGAAGCCAAAAAGCACAAGCAGGTTATTTCTTAAAACAATATGGCCATGATGGGGCCAAAACCAGGGCCGAATATCCATCACACTCAGGCGTCTCCCTGAGAGGCTGCACAGAGGACGGCCCACACAATGGAGATGGATAGTGGGGCTCAAGCAAGGCCTGTTTACCATTCTGCACACAACACGCCAACACAGATGAGCTATTATGGATATTGATCATGGCTTATCAGAGCCATTGATTCAGAATGCAAAAGAAAGCAAAACAATACTGGTCAAACAACACCCTTTGAGGAGACCTGTGCACCTTTTCAGACACCTTTGCTGCAGCAGGAAAGTGAGAAATTGTCTGGAAACAGTATAAAACTTTCAAAAGGTCAAAAGTTTCAAGAAAAGTTAAAAGTTGTCCACAAATGATTCAGTATTATTGTTATCTAGTTTGCCTTGAATATGTGATATGTTTAATTTTATGTACATGAGTAGGCTAGTGAGATATTAGAAATATTGCAAAGTTCATGGTCACTCAAAAAATCCTTTTAAGTATTCAAAACCATATAAATACATTTTTAAACATGTCCCTTTTGATAAGATTAGTTTTTTTTGTTTGTTGTTGTTTTTTTTTGTTTGTTTGCTTTTTTTTTTAGAAAATACTAGTAAAAATTTTATTCTACCTTTTAATCAATAGTTCTGGGTTCGGCAGTAACAAAATTTGTGTTTGTCATGTAATAACACTAGTTGTAGCAATCACAATAGTACTAGCAGGTGAAATTGAAGCTGCAGTTGTAAACCCAATATTCACAAGTCATTCTCCTCAAAGGGTTGAAACTGCAAATCATAAAATAAAAGCAGCCACTTTTGCCTTCTACAAATAGCATCTCAATGTGTGATCACACGCACACAGCTTGGCAGCTTACATGCGGAGTAAAAAAAATAAAAAATATAACAAAAAAACGTGGGACTATATAATGGCAAAAGTAATCAAGGGTACCAGGAAGTGGAAGTACCTGTGTGAAAAACCTGCAGGACCTTTCTCTCTTCTGAAGCTGAAAATTCAGAAAATTGCGTCTGTTAGCAGAGTAACACCTTTCAAAAGCACACACAAGCACACTCATCTCGTTAACATTTCACAAAAACCTGCTGAAGTTATTGTTATTCGTTTCACTTGCAATCTTTCTAGCACAACAGTATCCTGCAATGTTCCACAGATTGTTTTCAAAGCGTCCTGTCTCACTGACTTCGCTGTCCTATCTTTCAGAATCTAGTGAATTGATGGCATTAATTACGCTTCCACTAGTGCATGATTGGTCATTTTAGATCTAACCAACATTTGCATAATAAGCTGGCCTATTACTCAATTAGGTATACATAATTGGATCATTACTGGAGAAGGGAGGACCGTTTTTGTTTTCTGGGGAGAGCTTTTCTACTAATTCAACCTTTAACAGGCCATTTGGTCAACAGCTCAACACAGATGAATTGGTGGTGCTGTTCATTCAGTGCTGCTAATAGAGAGGTGCAGACAGGAGGAGAAAAGGAGTGAGGGGGAATCTATTGTTTTCACTGTGGTGGCTGTAGTCACATGCAAGGTGCACACAATTTAGAATGTTGTGCAAGGAGAACTTTATAGGCTACTTACACTACCAGTCAAAAGTTAGGCCTCACCCTTGCATTTGGTGTAAAATAGTTTTTATATGTTTACAGTTTTCTACTGATCATTTTGATATACATATCTAAAATGTAGAAAGTAGTAAGAAAAAAAGAAACAAAACACTGAATGAGAGGGCGTGGCCAAACTTCTGACTGGTGCTGTTTAGACATACACTACCACACTACTATCAAAAGTTTGGATACACGCTCTCATGCAATATTTTGTTTATTTTTTCCTTACTACTTTCTACATTTTATTAGCCTGATACATCAGCCGGTTTCAGTTCGTGGAAACCTTCTGATCTCACAGCATTAGGATTCGTTCGCTCTGCGGTAAGTGGGCACTTTTTTATTTAACCAATCTCTACTATTTGGTCGTGATGTATGTAATGCTCTGCTAACGGGGCTGACTGGTATATCAAGCTTTTCCCAAATCCCGTCAGAAGCTTTGACTTTAAATCCTCGATCTCGGGAATCATTGCCAACACAGAATGTATGACTCGTTGCTGATTGGCTGCTGCCTGAACTCGCACTTCTGGGGTTTTTCCGAACCGAAACATAATTTCATGCATCTCACTTCTTATATTTGATGTATTCTGTATGTATATAAAATTTCTATGGTACTAAACATATAGAAAAAAAACAAAACAGTGAATAAGAGAGGGTGAGTCCAAAGTTTTGACTAGTAGTGTATATACCATATAGTTTGATTGCATAAACAAACACAGTGTAATATATGTTCACAACTAATAAAATGAAATACTTTGCTGATTGCCAATTGCTTTGGTCAGTGTTTGCTCAAGTTCATAACAATATTTCAGAAGAAAAAGGTTCAGTTCAATTTTATTACTCAGTGCTTGCTATAACTGATATTTTTTTCTTCATAGTCTTGTTTTATACCGGATGTTTCTCTGAAAGGAAACTTTGCAACCTTTGAAGAATGAATGTCAGATTGAAAACTCACCACAATTGTCATTTATCAAAAATATCATTTAAAACTGTCCTTCAATGTTTTCCATTTTCTTCCCAGCTCATTCATCTCCCTGTCTACCTAGAGCCTCAAGTACAAAAATAAATAAATAAAAGAAAAATTCCATTCCATCACTCAGGCGCATTGACCTCCTCTCCGGGTCTTTGTCCGGACAGTGTTACCTTGGTGAGACTGCGGGCGGCGCTGTCCTTGCCTCCTGGGGTCAGGTTCCTTAGCTGGACATCCAGGAGTTCGACGAGCTGGGCCATGGCTCTGACTGTGGAGGGCACGTCTCCAGGCCTTAGCAGCCCTTTGGTCTGCTCTGCCAGCTCTCGGGCCACTATGGCAGCTGTCTCACCTGAGCGCAGCTGGAAAACAGTCAAGGGGAAATAAGGTAAGAGAGTTGGAGAGGTGATTTAGTTAGGTACATATTTGAGCAACTTGAATTGAGTAAAGGTTTTGTTATACAGTATTTGAATGACTACTTAAAATGTTGCTGAAGTTGACTGACACGTTTGCATTAAAACATTTTTGATGACAGGAATAGGAATTGTGGAGACAGAAGTAGCTGTAGTAGCAGTCGTCATAAATGAACTGAATCAATACATTGCTTGGTTTATAATAGAACAATTTATGTAATCTGAATTTTCATTAATGAAAGTATTTTCATTAATGTACACATTTTATGCACATACTGCAATCTGTTTCAAGATGTAGAAATAGAAGTAGGATGATTTCACTTAAGTAACCATTTTCTACTTGTTCCTGATCTTGTACAGGTCAATTTTACGCAAGCACATAATTTGAATAATTTGTCCACATCTGTATAGCTTTTATTAATAAACTGCTCAACATTTCAAATTTAAATACATCAGTTTCCACAGATAGTATACAAGGTAATCACACACACGCATTCAACTTGACCACAAGGCAGTCTTCTTACCCAAGCTGAACTTCAAATGGTCAAAAATGTTAAACATATCAGAAGAAGAGGTGAAAGTCAGAGATTGAAAAAAAAAACAACGCTGTAAAGACTGATGCAAAGATGAAAGGACAAGAGAAGATGGGTAGCCTGCAAAAGGGCAGCACGGAAAATGGAGAATTGAAAAGACGTCTGCGGCAGGGGAAGACGAGCGTAAAAAGTGAATTAGTGCTACAGATACAGAGGGATGCATTGTGGGTATTCCCGGGGCTTATGTGCTTTCACAAAAACATGTAAGAACATTTTACAGAAACTAACTTTGCACTGCCCTTTTCTCTCATCTTCATCTTACACACAGCCAAAGCCCCCAACATTGTGCTGCATTCTGAGCCCAAATTAGATCCACTATGTTGAGAGGAGGGACAAGTTAAACCAAAATCTCCGAGCGAAAATAACATACAGTACTGTACAGTAATGATGCACTGTGTTAAAAATGCTATGCCCATTCACTAAGGCTGCGCTTTCACTCCAAACACACTGAGACTAAACTAAGACTAAACCCAGAACTAAAAACGAGGCCAGGGTCTGAACAAGATCAAACCAGGATCAAATCAAGACTGATTAATAGCCCAAAAGAGGTCCAGTCATTCTATACCACTGAGAGACAAAAGAGACAGTTTATTAGGAAATTTTACAAAATTAGATACAGACTGATTAATTTACGGAACAACACTTGTCATTTTACTGTAAAAGGTATAATACATGTTTGGGTTATTATGTTTCAGTTCTTCAGCCTGCTAAGTATTGGTACTTAAAAAATGTAATAACATTTGACTATATGGTAATATCTACTGTCTTGAGTTTTTTCCTTAGTTACCTAAATCGATTTTGAAATGTTGTATTGGTAAACTGATTACAGTACATACATACATGCATACAGGGTAGACAAAGGAACTTCTAGAGTGTTCTTCGAATAACATTATTTTACTGGCAGTACATCCATCTCTGATCCTATTATGATGGCAGTTAACAATGACCTTATTTTCCTACTCCCAGTGGCTAAATACAGTCTCTTCATGTGAGTTTGGGCTAACAAGTAGAGAATGGATGGGTGGCCTAAATCTTTCCCTGTGGTCAATGTGTCTTCATGCGTGACAAAACAGCTCCGGGACTGTATCCATAGAACATGTAGCTTTAAACTGTGCTTCTTCTTCTTCTATTACTTACTTTCTGCATGATGTGATTGACCCAAGGCGATGTGCAGTTGCTGAGGTCCGGGCCTTGGGGATCCCAATAGCCCAAATGGGACATGCACATGTACGTAGCCACGCCTGTAAGACCAGCACACAGCAGAGACAATCAGACAGTGTCTTTCAGCCTGCACATTACATATATTACAACATGTCCCAGTGCTAATAGACTTAAAAAAGGGAAGAGCAACAGTATGTGTGACTCTGTATCAAAAACAATACACTGTGGATGGACACCTTTTTCAAGCTCATTTCAGACCTACAGACCACTTGCCTCCACTTGTCCAATGGTAGTGAGAGGCTTTATATAATTAAATCAAATATGCAGGCACAGTACAATATTAGTGTCTACTATATCCTTGATAGAGCTAATTATTCCACACTTTGTTTGCAAATGCTATATGCACCAATAATTTATTCACCACTAGAAATTGTTAACAACCCAAGGCGTGAGTTCTCACATGCTGTAGTGGTAAAATCAAACATACTTTGAGGTGTGACAAAATCACAATGTACAATGTAGAATGTAGATGACCACTCTAAATGCTAAAGCATTTTATTAATCCATTTATTATTCATTGTATTACTGCAAAACACTGTAAGTTTTTCCCTTTTTATGAATTAATAAATAAATCACACCAGTGGTTTATACCTCTGTATTGTAAGTGTAAGAGTAAGTCTTCTGGCTTGCTCTTTGCTTTGAGATTGTGATGCATCATTTTGAGATAACACATGCATGTTTTAATATAGGATTTTATTAAAACAGTATCTCTCTATAAAGCTTTAAATTAGTTTCTTATTTTTTCACTCTGTAGTCACATTGGTAATGGAAAATTACCCCTGTCATTACAGCTGCCCTAATTCTAAATCTGGTGCCAAAGACAGCGGAGGGAACATGGATGAAAAGACATGCCCACATAAGAAAACAGGAGGACTGTAATGGTGGGCAGGGGGCCAATACATTTTCATCATAGGAGACATATTCTGAAGAACTGATAGAAGATCAGCCTTTTCATCAGTACACAACAACAACATACTAAGAGTATGAAAACAAGAGTCTATATACTAAATATATAAAAATATATTAAGTATGAAAACAAGAGTCTATATATTAAAAATGTCTATATTTTGAATGGTTAACAGCCCTCAAAATGTTGCCTATAAAAGCTGAAACTCATGAATTTACTTTTGCTATTTTATTACAACATAAAAATACTATAGGTGCCTCTTTGTTGTAGTTCAAACTGAGCTAAAGATCAAAAATCCAATATGAAAAGCTACTTACATCAGTCCATGTTTTTGTCAGTAACTTCTATACAGTTTCAGTTTGCAGGAGTGTCCTTACCCAGAGTCCCCACTGGGCAGGGCTGCTTGGCGAGCTGTCCCTGCTGGGTGCGCGGCCAGGATATATCTGCTGTGATCCGGGGCGTGCAGAAGTCCTGAGGGGGCATCACAGGGGGCTGGGGGGCGGCTGGAGGTTGGACCACTACTGCAGGCGATCGACCGGGCCCTTTCTGGTTTAGGTCTGGGATCTGGTTGGTGTCAGATGACGACCCCCCAGCAGGGTTGAGCATGGGGGGCCGTATGGTAGTGGTGGTCCGGTAGCGTTGACCAGGAGAGGTGGTGAGGAGAGGTCTGGGTGTGGTGTAGTATGGAGGGGCACGCGTAGTTGTTGTGCGACTGGTAGAAGAAGAGCCTCCTCCCCCTCCTCTGTTTGGGGGCATCACTGGGGGCCGAAAGTCTGTGAAGAAAAGACACAGGCATTAGGTTCTGACAAAAGGGATGTTGTTCATCCCAGAGCCCACCGAGCTGTTGTTTTTGGTTTACTGTGGATTTTTGATGAGCCAGGGATCAGTGGACTAAAGTTCAACATCGATTGCCAAAAAGAAACAGAAACAACAAGTGTTAAAGCCACTTTCTCTGTCGAAGCTTCACCCAGACATCTCAGCAAAGTCACTAAGCATTTAAAGGTGCACTGCGTAACATTACTAGAGGAGGGTACGTCACTTGCTTGTCTCCATGGAAATGTTATTGCTTTGTTTATAATGTTTTACAGTATAGATTAAACCTATCTTTCACGAGGGAGACAAGCAGGTTACAGCACTACGCTACATTCAGATCTGTGGAGAGTCACCTCTATTCATAGAAGGAATTACTGTATTTTTGAGCAATAGAAACACCAGTAATGAATAAATGCTGGATGGATATATTTAATGTGATACCAGGGAACATTCCCGGCAAAGCAATGACATCTCCATGGAGACTAGCAGGTAGCAGAACTTCCACCAGAAAAGTTGCATAGAGCACCTTTGTGTATTTATATGTTTTTAATAATTTTATCATCCTAATACTTTTGAATCTACCTATAGCACAATAACAACTGTTGTATGTAGACTGATAGATAATAGATAGCTATCCTTTATTAATCCCAAAGGAAATTCTTTTTTTTTTTTAGCTGCAATACATCACAGACATACCATCAGACCACGTTAAGTTCTCATTCTCCTTTCTAACTTTATTAATGAATAGACAGGAATAGCATGGTGTTAATACAGACTTCACCGCGGACCAGAATAGCTTTTAAATAAATGTTTTACTGTTACAAAACTCATGTTCTAACAGGCATTCATTTTAATATGTTAACATGAAAGACTATTTTATTGAGTACATTTGTGAATAAAACAATCTTGAAAATATCTTTTAGGATAGCAATTACAGCACAAACAAAACATTGTGTACTGTGGGTTATATGGCATTATTATGATCAGCTTTACTATATAATTTGGAGTGAGTAATTTAAAAGTTAATTTATCTGTGGTAACTTTTGCACCTGTTTATTTCCCTTCACAAGTGAATGAGTCACATAATCAACAGTGATATTAGCACAATAAGTGTACTTTGTTTGCACAGGGATAATTGGTGTCAAATGGTGTCTGTGTTTCCTGTGGTGAACAGCATAAAATAAGCAAATCAAATGCATCTCTCTCCATAAAACCCCCACAGATAACATTCCTTTGTTCTTATACTAAACTGACTTATTTGGGCTCAGTTGGTATAGCTTTTGTCCACTGATCATGAACATCATTGACAGTCACAGATGAATGCTATCATTGTTTCCTTGGGAAAGACACTTAACCCATGTCACCTCCAGTCATGTGTAAGTGGTTCCTAGATGTAAAGTTCCTTGAAGGTTTAAAATCACTATATATAAAAAAGTGACCATTTACCATTTGCAAAGAAAACTAAAGAAAAATTATGAAATAAACTCAAAATTATGTTATAAATTCTGAAGCAAGTTTCAGAATGAGTAATGAAGTCCCTTAAGCTAGGACAGCTATAATAATCCAATGCCAGTTATCGTGGAATGTCAGTTGGAGTGTTTTGCCTTGTGGTCCAGACACTGCAATAATAGATGCAGAGAGGAAATGCTATGTAATTAAAGGGAACACTTTCCAATCCAATTGAAATACTAATTATATATTTTTATTACATTATATAGGGCACAGTGCAAACTGGTAAAGTAGACTAAAGGGGGAAAACAACATGTTACGCTTGTATCTTTAATGTATGTATGTATATTCTATTATATTTTTTTGTATCTTTTAACATTTTTTGTGACTGCACTACAGTTGTGTTGCTTATTTAGTGGATTTAGTGATTTATGCAATACACTTGACATATTCACTCCTTGGATGAGTAAAATAGATGTGTTTTATATAAACTTTGTAGTAGTGGTTTAACAAAGAAACACCATTAAAGTACACTTGGTTCTTAAAAAACAGCAACATATCAAAGAGTATCATGTGCAATTTATTGATTATCATACTTATCGCTTTATCGTGATAATATCATATCATGAGCCATGTATCGTGTATATAGTGTTGAATCATGAGGGACCCTGTGATTCCCAGCCATAATCTGTATCAGTATTTTTCAACATGGTTCAAGGTTTGGTGTGCCATTGCTACTTTAGAGCCTTCTTGCAATGTGTGGGTAAACTTGGGCAGATAGATTACCGTCTCCCCATAAGTTTAATTAGGGACTCTTCTTCTCTTCCTCCCAGTGTATTTCCTTTCTCTGTCTGTCTATCCCGATGACTGACAGCCCCGTAACATCTCCGCTCCTCCTGTACACTCTGTTCTCCCCAACACACAACACCGGCACCTAAACTGTGCCACTTCCAGAATCACCGCTCTCTGCCTCACGCGTTCTCCACGGAACATTGCCATCAATCATGCGTGGCAGCGGTGGCCTGGGGACTAGCTGTCAATCTGCATGAGCCCAAGTGTATGTGTGTGGAGCAGTAGTTACGAAACTGGGATGTGTCTATCTCCTCGAAGCTCTATTAGGGGTACTGCCACAACAATGGAAGAGTAATAGTGTGTGCGTGAGCTTGACGGCTGCTGTCATTTGAACTATAGGGTGGTGACGGTGGAGGTGAGAAAGAAGAGCAGGGTAGGTATAAGGTGCCTCGAAAGGGCTGCTGCAATACATGATCTAGGCATCTATCTCACCTACTTTCTATTTCACATTATCTTCATTCAACTGTTAGATTCAATGTTATTTAAAGTGAATATGACAGCTAATCCAGCTCCGCTCAGACAGTCAGAGATACTAAATTACATTCATATCAAACTCCATACAACTGTACAACAACTCACCCTTATGTAATAGATAACCCTATGTCGTTGTTTCCCAAAGACTGGGACCCTCACAAGAGATTTTTTTTTGGGTCACCTTGTCACAATTTGCATGTAGGTCTGCAATATACAGTTCTGACACTGATATGCATGTTGTGCTCTCCTCCTGCACCCTAGGCTGGAACACGTTACAAAAATGCAGACAGGCCCACCTATCTCATTAGAAAAGTTAAAATGATAAGACATGTTTTGTATAATTTCCAGTCTTTTTGTAATTATTTTATTGACTATTTTGTTCCAATATTGCTGGTTCAATTACTGTTTTTCATTGTTTAAAACTTGAGTAATACTAATTGTTCAGAGAGACACGATCACTCAGTCAACAATAAAATATTGTCTTAAACGTTAAATAATAATCAAATTCACCCTTATTTTTTTAAATTTACAAATAATATCTATTGACTTGGGTCGCAAAGGTTTGTGACTTTTAAAATATGGGTCCCCAGAAAAAAAGTTATGAAAAAAATAATTATGCCTTATTTGACACCAATCTCTTGCTAGTTTTGCCTCTTATTTCTTGAATTTATTATTATACTTGTGTTTTTATATTATATTGTAAACTGTGCCTAAATAATTTCCCTTTTGGATCATTAAAGTTTGTCTAAGTCTAAGACAGGTTTTCATTGCTTCATGTTATTACTTGGTGAGACAGAACTTATGGTCAATATTGATCATAGTTTTACATCAGCACCTAGGGCCTTTCCATGAAATACATAATCATATATCTGCATAATTATACATAGAACACCATGTCACAATACTGCTATGAATGTAAATATATCTGACCCAGTTTGTTTTCAGTATTTCTATTCTATTCTGTTGCTACATTTAAACATATATGCAACATACACAATTCTGGTTAGATCTATTCTTTTGTGCAGGACATTGACTGTATAAAAACTAAGGAAGTGTGATATCACCCGTAGCGTTCAGCTGCAGTCAAATGAAGCGCATGAGGCTTGCTGGTATAGGAGTAAATTTGGAGTCAGGTCCATATAAGGAACAGGAATTTATTTATGTACAAAATAGTAAAATAAAAACACCAGAATCAGGTAGAATATGAACATTTTAAGGCCAAAATGAAGCAGCTCACTGCAGCAGTTACAGCGACAGATGTGACAATTTTCCAGTGTGAAGACAATTGGAGCTAGAGTCGCAGGAGCCGGAAGCGCCCTCATGCTTACTTCCTATTTGGAACGCGGCAGCTAGAGGTTTGGCTATGTCTGTTTATATATACAGTATATGGTGCAGGCCTACTTAATATCAAAATAAAGCATGTATTTGTGTAACAATACTATGTAATTCCTTATTAAAATTACACATCTCTTTTGCTCAATCTGACCTTCAGGTGGGAGGCCAAATGATGCCCTTGTAAAGCAGTATTAAATTAAGTACTAATACTAGAACAGTAACAGCATTGTGTATTATACTAAGTAGTAGCAGCTCAGTAGATTTCATAGAACTGTTAGTAGTGGTAGAATTAGCAGTAATGCAGGAGTAAGTCTGAGTGTCTATTTACATTAGCATTATTGAATCATTCAGTATACAGTCTTGACATTTACACCTGATTTGATTGCCTCTTCCTGCCACGCTCTGTACCTGTCTGCATTTCTATCAGATTCTTCCACACTCCCTTTATGTGTGTCTGCTGTGAATAAAAAATCAGGCCGTGAAGTGAAGTGTTCATCAAAGAGGAGATGCGTGGAGAAGATGGGCTGACATAACACACTCATGCAACATTGATGGAGCACAAGGCTGGGGGTTGTACTCATGGGAACTGACACATCTTCCTGCATTTAGGTTTGGGGTAGACTTGAATAAATATAATATGACAACTTTGTGATGTCAGCGAACCTAAACGCTGCACTCTTTGCATGGGACTACGCTAGGCCAGCGATGTGAGGAGGGCACAGATGTAAGTAAGAGTGAATTAAAGCTGGGATAGCTGATTTTCAAACCAGGAAAGGAGGAAAATAAGCACACACTCTTTGGCATGTCGGTAGAATTCACATGCATAGATTTTTTGGCACATGCACAGTTT